AAACGAATGATAACAGCCAAACTTGAATAAGCTTATTAATTTAGCAGAATATTTATAGAGGCATTTAGAAGTTAAGGATATGAATATCCTGCCTCAAAACAAAGTTGAGGAAACAACATGGAGGAGACTTAATAGTTTCTATTAGTTACACGAACGTATATATTGATGTCACAAAGATTGTTTGCCATTGCTAACAGAGTGTGACAGAGTAGTACTTTCTTAAGAATTCTGTGATGTTTAACAGACTGGTTTTTTTTTTGTCTGTTCGCTTTAAAAATGTTTGCTTCTATTGGTTATGGTCTTGTCTGTCTGTTTTTCTTTGGTTATTTTTTTAACTGCCACCTTTTAATTCTAGAATCGTCTTATTTGTTATATCTCTCCTTCTTGTTGTTGAAAGACTTTGAGATTTTTTCTGATTACTTTTTTCTGTATATTTTGTCCCTTTGTATCGTAAAAGTAATTGTTGTTTCGTTATTCAGTCATGTTGCAAAATTCACTTTATTTTTCTCAATATGTCGACAGAATATTTGGCAAATGATATCGAATTATCATTGCGCTTTTGAAACATATCCTGTTTAACCAAACACCCCTTTTTTTTAAGGTATCACCCCTAAGGCCATGTTCCTTTTCACATTTCCTTCGTTACCAAGAAAATATCGACAAACTAATCTTTAAACTTGTATGTTATATCCTGAGAATATATTTGTCAATTTTGACCAAAGCGATTCAAGAACATCTTATTGGAGTTATGTCACCTCCCAAATTTTTACTACGAAGTATTTTTGTGTTACTGATATGCCCAATACCTTATTTTTTATTTGAAAATGTTTGGCAAAAACTTTCACATTCAGATATATTGATGATGTTCTTTCAATTAACAATCCAAACTTTTCTGATTGGGTTCCATTAATATATCCCCCAGAACTAGAAATTAAAGAAACAACAGACACGGCTTCTTCCGCCTCAGTTTTAGGCTTATACCTCGAATTTGACATACACGGTCATCTCTGTACCAGAATCAATGACAAATGAGACGTTTCTAATTTTGAAATTATCAATTTCCTCCACCTTAGTAGCAATATACCAACTTCACCTGCATATGGGATATACATTTCCCAACTTATTCGGTATTCAAGAGCTTGCAGCTGCTACTCAGACTTTGTTAAACGTCACCAGTGTCTGAGCAGAAAGTTGATGTACCAGGGATATGTCAAAGAACGTCTCGTCCTTTTTCTAAAACAAGTTCATCGGAAGGTACCAAGACCTTGTTAATAAATATTCCGTATCAACTTCACAAATAATACACGATGGTCCTGAAGTATAGATTCTGGGTATTGACGTTGTTTATCATCTTAATAACGTGTTATAGTATTCTTTTATTTGTCTTTTTGAATATTACTTTTACTGTTTAGTCTATTTCTGATATCCATTTGACGTGGCTCGGTACTTAAACATCCCGTCATTGTGCTATTGTGCTATGGTAAAATATTTTATTCTTGTCTTTTATTTTTGCTTATCTGCTTTGTCTAAATGCCTTTGTGTGTTTATTTGTTACATATGTGTTTGTTTTCATAGTGATTACGATTATAACACAATGTTGACTGTTGTACCCCTATTTTGGCATTTTTACCTATTACGTATGTTTGTTTTGGTCACACATCATTGTCAATATAATGGAATTTTATGCGACTGTCATACAAGTGAGAGGTTTCGCTAGCTAAAAAAACCATCTACATAAGAAAATGCCTGTACCAAGTCAGGAATATGACAGTTGTTATCCATTCGTTTGATGTGTTTGAGCTTTTGATTTTGCCATTTGATTAGGGGCTTTCCGTTTTGAATTTTCCTCGGAGTTCGGTATTTTTGGTATTTTACTTTTTGGCAAATAAAGTAAAGGTCGATAGTCATTGTTCTAAATTTTGACATTTGCTTGCTTTTGCATTTCTGCTGAATGCATTAACAATAGGTGTAAAAGACTGTTGCAAAATGGTTTGTTAATTGAGATTAAAATTTGATAAGTTTTTCCAAAAGGATGCTACGAAATCTTCTGAGGTTTATCTAACGTATAGTGTTTTATCTAAAGATGTTTTGATTATAACCGTATAATGAGGCATGACAAAGCCGGTGGGTCTCGTGTATAACGTTGGGAGGTGTGGAAGGTCATATAAAAGTGACCTTAATACAACGAAAGCAGTTTTGTATTCTTGATTCAAGAAAGTGCCATATATTTTTGTAATGAAAAGTGAACGATCGTATGATATAGGAAGTGACCTACAATAAATCGAAAGAAGCTAAGTTTCTCCTTGTCACAATATACTTACTTGAAGCCATATTTTTCAGGATAGAATAACGTTATATGAAACTTGAAATGGTATTAAATTTACCGGAAGTAGGTAAGCATCTCCCTTGATTCAAGTGAAAAAGTATAACACAAGTAACATGAGTAAGGGGAAGTCCTTAAAAACTGACAAAATCAAATGCTACCAATCAACAGAACAAGGGAAAAACAACTGATATATTTCTGACTTGGTACAGACATTTTACGACGAATTGTTAGTTAAAACCTGGTTTTATAGCTATCTAGAAAGTACAAATGTATTTATTGAATATGTGTTGAGTATACATTTATATATCGCAGTAAGTGGTTTCATGTAAACCACAATTTACTGATTATTTCCCTTTTTTTTGTCATATTTAACTAGTTCAAAGTTCATGTTCTTATAACATAAGTGTAAGGTTATCTTCTTACAACAATAGTGACTTTTTTACATCGGGAATATCTATTTTGTCTTTCACTTTCTTGTCAACAGATAGGAATTAAAAGAAGTGAAGACCTTTAATTTCTGGGAACATTTTGTTTAGAATTATTTGTTTCATCTCCAACCACACTTTTTAACAGGTCAATAAGATATTTAATAGATGATAATTTACATTTATTGCAACTTGGAAACTGACCCTGCTAAACCGAACACTTTTTTTTGTTAGAGTTATTTCTGCTGACACAGTTAACATCTTTTTAATTTCTTTAACATCTTTATCAAATCAAGAATATCAGTATTAAGCATACAAAAGTATGTTTCCTTTTTTGTCGAGGATTGAACATCTCCTTGTTTTCACAGTTGTTTTGAGAAATAAATTTATTTCTTTGTATGCTAATGTATATCACATTATCTGTGACTTTATTTGCTATGGAATATCAATATATAACATGAAAAATAAAACGTGATAGGGTAAGCTTTAATTTGTTATTGTGCGAGTGTATGTGTGTAATTCAAATGTTTATTATATTCTTACCGATGCTAAATTTGGTTTCACGTCCCATATCAACATTACAGATTTTTAAAGTCTCTGATATGTACCGTTTACCAGCGTTTATTATGCATGTTAAGTTAATGTATGAACACTTACCACAAGGTATATACAAAATACTTCCGAGACCAGTTCTTTGTTTTTTAAACAGTTTTGTAGAACGAATGGTGCATACAGTTCTTGCAAGCGTTAAGTTGGTCAGCTAGTAAACCAAACTCAATCACTCTCCGACCATCACGACATGCCAATTTACTTTCATTTTCATTGCTGGCGCTCGAGGAAAGCAATGTTTAACCCGGAAAAGAAATTTCATTTACATACTTCCATTTTTGTTATTATTTGATGAGGTGCATTCCACCGAATTGACCATTATTCCGAAGAAGCGGAATATCTTCCGACATCTTGAAAATATTTTTCTGGAGTACGGGAGATAACTCTCATAACAACAAACGTAAATTTTCCCGTTTTCCGCTAGAGGCGTTCATTTACGTACCTCTCACCTTAACAAACCATTAAATCTCATGAATCCATTAAAATCACTCATTACTTTTTGTCAGAAAAAAAATGATAGTTTTGTAAAATATGCAATTAAAACAAAGATTAATTTGACTGAAATAGTCCTCTCTTCAATAGATTAATGGGCATTATTTTCTGTAGAAAAAAAAAGTAACGCCAATAAAAGAGATAAATAATATCAATCCAATGGCCATTGAATTAAATCAAATCAATGAAAAAGAAAAATAAGAAAAAGAAAAAAAAGAAACGTAGAATAACAATATGTCACCCCCTAAGAAAAACAACAAACAAAAGAAACATTCAAAAGGCGGCATAAGTCAACCTTCAACATTATACAAATTCAATGCAATGCCAACTTAAATCTAGCAGGCTCAAAAGATTAAACAGAAATAATCACACATTGCCGTTAAAACATGATTATCAAAATAACGAAAAACATTAAGATGTGATATACGATTCACAACGAGGTTCTTGACTTAGGACAGGTACATAAAAAGGCGGCCGGGTTGAACTAAATTGTTAAAGTCTCAACCCTTCGGCTTTTGTACGCAATAAGTGAACTGTACAAATTATGTCTCTTTGAATTGTTCACACAATTGATTCAAATAAAAGTTGTTTATAGTTCCGTTACGCTAATTCAATTGAATTGAATTGAATCGATGTAACGGAACTATAAACAATTTTAATACATATGGGAGATATAGCAGGTATAAAACCAGGTTAAACCCACCATTGTCTTCACAAAATTTCTGTGCTAAATCACGATTTTTTGTTGTTGTTTTCCTATCGTTCCGTAATATTTTTTGTCAGCAAAGTCATCACATTACAGAAAGATAAATGTTGATAAAAATCAGGAACAAACTGTACATAATCCCATTGCAGGAAAACACTGTTGCTAAAATGTTCTAAGATCTAAGACTCCGGAAACATGTCGATAGTATATTGCGATACAGTCTTATGGAATCGAGCAAATAATTTGTGATGGAGACAATGTGATTTCGATTTTAGTCGTTCTTCCTCAGAGCTCTTCTCAAGCATTTTTTTTATGATGGTGATGTACTTTTGATAATAAAGTAACGAAGTCTGACCAATTACCATAAGGGTAATACTACTGAATTTCCCCCTTAACATATTTCTCTATGTTTTTTTTTCAAAATTTAAAATAATAAAACTAATTAAAAACAAATCAGCATTTTATTTCTATTTTTAACAACTGGTGCCATGTTTACTGATGTATCAAATCACCGAATATCATTTTGAACTTGATTCCCTAAGGAACATGTAGATAAAGTTTTTTTTTAATATTTGGTCTTATTATAAAGTTCCAAATCACTGACTCACAATTTTGGTCTTTCCTGAACTGAAATAGAATGGAATGAAATATGCAAACCCATCCGCTATAGTGTCCTTCTCTTGCTCAGTGTGCAAATTTGAAAAATTACTTACAACTAGTACAAAAAGCCTATCAATATATATTTAAACCCATCCGCTACAGTGCTCTAGTTTTGCATTGTGTGCAAGTTTGAAAAATTACTTGCAATGTATAAATACAAAAATGTAGTCCAAATCAAAATATTTTTCTAGATTTTCTAATTCGTAGTATTTAAGAAAAAAGGTCTCATATTGATAAGACTTCAGATTTAGTTAGATACTTCCATCAAATATTATTTAATCATTTCGGTATGGTTCAATTTGTCAGTATAAAGGTAAATCTGAAAAAGTTTCAATAAATATTTGAAAACCCGGTTATATTTATATCAATTTTTTCATTAAGATATAAAAACTTTTTTGTTTATCTTTAGGGTAACCATCCATACTAACTAAGTAAGTGCCTCTTAGCTAGTATTCATTGTGTTTTATAGATGTTGAAACATTGCGAACCGTCGTTAAAAACTAACAGTTCTCTTGTTTCATTGTTGTAAGATATAGCGCTCGGTCCATTGATACCATCGTCTGCTGTCAGGACAATGCCATGTTTCTTTCCATTGTAAGATATTCTATGTATTTTGTTTGATATATATCCTGCTACATACACATCACCTTGGTCATCTATAGCTACACCATTAGCACTTTTCAGGTCAGGACGGTTGTATTTCTCACGTTCTTTTCCATCCGATGTAACAACGTATACTTTAACACTATTGTTGTCAGTACAATAGACATCACCATCTTGATTGGCCCAGATTTCATAAGGATTAAATGTTGTTTGTATTGTATTTAGAACTTTACTATTGATATTCATAATGGTTAGAACTTAAGATTGATTTTTTACCCAGATCTTGTCCTTTACACTGGTGATTCCTCTACAGTTTCCTTCAACTCTGATTATCCTACCAGGCTTCAATGCTGTCAGGTCGATAATCTGGATACCTGAATCACCAACAGATACTAAAGCATGGTTTTTGTCATATAAGCTTATATCTCGTGATGAATAATCTAAATCAATCACGTTGGAGTTCGATCCATCACGTGTACAAACAAAACGTTGTTCGTCATTGTTGTGACCGAGGAGTAACATGAGTAACTTATCCTCAGAAATAAAGCATCCTCTGGGAATACTTACTCTTTTACTTAATTTCGTGATTTTGAATGAATGTGCTAGTGATAACTTTCTGTCGTTTCTAACGAGAAATTGACCTTGTTGATCGATATCTAGTAAAGGCTTTGGTACTTGAACATTTTCTACCGTTATTGTACCCAAGTCTAGGAATAGTTTCTTAATGTTCGACTCTTATTCTGATGGATGATATCGGAGTATCGGAACAGCTGCTGTTTGGATTTCTCTGATTTCCAATTCTTTCTGGTATGTATTTGCATCTAGAAATTTTAAGAACTGGAATAAATGGATTTCAGATGTGTGTTCCTTCAGTGATGTTATATCACTTTTCCATGTAGACAGCGAGTCTAAGCTGGATTGGATACTATTTTTTCTTTCGGGCCACACTCTCAGTACAGTTTTTATAATGGCAATCAATGTCTTTATGTATCGCTGCTTCTAACGTATTTAAATAAGCAATAATGGTCTGCTTTAATTCCGACACCCTTTAACTTGATTGTTTTTCGATTTTTTTCTAAATCTACAGGTGTTGTCTCATTTTGACTCCGTATGTTCTCTGTAACCTGACAGAGGTTAGAAATCCTTCTCTCTAGATAAAAAATAGCGGTGCTATCTTTTACGCCTCTAGCAGCTTTTTCAATGGACACGGTCGTACAATTACGATGTGATACCGGTACACATGAAACGCAGATTACCTTGTCATGTTGACAGCAGTACAGCACAATCTTTTGATCTGAATGATTGTCGCAGTTCTTTGACAATATAAGAAGTGAAGAACTGAGTTGTTGCATCTGTTGCAATGGTACTACCTTGTGAGGCGGGAACATTATTTCGTGAGCACTGGAACACACCTTTCATACAAATTCAATGCAATTACTGCACCATGATACGGCTTTTGTGTCTTTATCAAAACACTGACAATTAGCACAGAATTTACTGTCCGTCATTCTGTAAGAATAAAAAAAAGAATGGCGTCTGCAGTAAAGTCATTCACTTAAAGTATGAACAGTGGCGGACTTCTTTGGCCTGAAATGGTCTGTAAATAATTTTCGGTTAAATGTAAACATAAATAGTATTCTAACTAGGGATGTCAACGAGTACTCGAGTACTCGATTATCGCTCGGTAGTACCGAGTATCGAATACCAAAATGATACTCGACTAATCGGTATCCTGTTTGAATGTTGTTCCTTTTTTAAGCTTAAACATAAAATATATTCATTGAGAGCGCCTCCCGGAAAATAAGATATTAATCCAAATAAATAGAAATAAAAATACCATTCGAATGTTTGCGTTTAACTGTCATTTAAAATACTGCCCCAACAGAGGTAGGCTATGAACAAGAGCACTTTCCAAATCTTACACTTTTAGCTAATCTTAGTCATCACCCTGGCTCTATACCGTCAGAACGTGTATTTTCATCAGCAGGACTGTTAGTTACCAAACAATGTTAAGAAATCGCCTCGTCCCAGAAAAAGTTGGCACGATAAAACTGTTAAATAAGAACAAATCCCTGTGTCGACCTCAGAAAATGATTAAAGGCATCAGTATAAGAGAGACTGTTATAGTAAGTTCTAATCATCACCTCTTTGTTGATTATTAAATCTGTTTTTTAAGGTTCCCAACTACTGTTGTTTGAGTAATTATTTTTCTATAGATATTAATTAATTACTTGATTAGATTACTAGTATTACCAGTTTACATAATTAGTACATGTTGTAAATGAGCTATTTATTATGGTATAAAATACCGTGGACTATTATCTAGTCCTAGGTAATAATGTTGAGGTTTATACGTCTATAAGCATGATAAGACAACGACCAACGATACCTCAAATGGGCATAATTTTGAGTTTCAAATTTTGTTAATGTTTTACCGAGCGAGTACTCGCGTATCGCTCGGTAAATACAACGAGTACTCGATTGGTTTATGATCACCGAGTTGACATCTCTAATTTTAACTAATGACATTTTTCAAAAAAAATCATTTCAAAACATTTTTAGTCTTTTAAAGCCGGATCATTCACTCTGAAATGCCTCAACTTCTTATCAGATAACTAATAGCTGCAGAAAAAAAAGTAGTATCTATAAGCTTTTTCGTCAAGAAAAAAAGAAGAAATCGTGAATGGTTTCAAAAACTAAATGTAACACAATTACAGTACCCCAAGTTCTCCACATTAAATACGACAACTGGTTGATAGTTTGTGTTACCAACAAAATATATCTCAAGATAAAAAGTGTTAAAAATTTCCAGGAATAAATATTTTGTGTAAAAAATAAACCATTACATACTACAGTTGGAATAAAAAGATGAGTAAGAATGTCTAAAAATTTGGGAAAAAGAAAATAAAAATGGTACAATGATATACGCAAACTACTGTTATCTTAATATCGAAATAAAAAAATCCAATAGTAAAAATAATGGACATTATTAAGAATAAAAAATACGTGCCTTAAGTCAGAGAAATATCAAAAAAATTATCAAAAACATCGATTCGTATTGATCAGAGATTAACACTGTCACTTTTGAAGTTAGGTAACTAAGCAAATTCAAAGGAAAATTGGTATATGACCACAGCTTTAGTTTTTGTGTGGTTTTTTTTTTTTCGTTTCTTTTCATCATAATGCAGCAACGAATAACGTCTTTCTTGAAAATGTCAATATTAAAACACCTCAATATTCCATTTCATGTAGTTTTCAATTAATCATAACATACATTCTTTAAAGGATACTTTTTTTGGAATTGTGGTTTGTAAGCTTCTTTAAATGAACTTGGTTACCAATGTAAACAAACGAGTTGTATTGCCATCTTTATCATTAGAAGTTGTACTTTTCTATTATAAATATGATTGTTTGATTTAACTTACGTATCCTTTTTGTTTTGAACAGAACTGTGTCTTTGTTTTGTATCAGCACAGGCACATTCGAATTACTTTCGTTTTCAGTGGGAATTCCCTTTTGATTAATGGGAAACTATCTAAATCTTCCAAAGGTGATTTGACTGAATCGACGCTAATATTTAAATTGCTTGTGTGTTTGTGCTGATAAATAAAGAAATCAAAGATACTTTTAGACAATGTAGCTAACCAATTTGCGTGTACCATAGTAGGTGCATCATTACAAATATATTGTCAATAACGAGTTATGTATGTTTGTATCACAGGCACTTGTCTCAGAAAAAAAATCCCATATACCTTAATACATGTATAACACAAGGTACTTAACTCGCATTTTTGAAAAATGTCAGCCGGTTGCGAAATTCCGTTGTATGTCTATTTCTCAGTTGTCAACCTATCTAAAACTTGTTATGCCGTAATTCTACATTGATTTTTCTACACAATGGTGTATAACAAGCCTACTTTTGTTGTCAGAATAATCTGTATCAGGTCTACCGAAGTATGTCAATCGTAATTATTTCGTCTACCGACGTCAGATTGGAAACACAAATCTCGCAGTAATTGATTAATTATAAAAATTGTTTCAGAAAAAACTGTTAGTTTTTGTCTGAAAAAGAACTTATCACCCAGTTAGCAAAATTGTATAAGATACCGTAAAAAAAAAATGTCTAATAAGTTACGAGTTTCCTTTTTTAGACACAAATTTTCCCATTACGTTAATGTCATTCAGACTCTCACTTGACTTTATGTATGAAATGAAATAAGATCAAATAACTCCGAGAATCATTTAGACTTTCCCATAAAAATTGACCAATCGAAAACCGAGATATATAAAGAAAGTGGGAAGATACCTTTTACTGCGAGACGTTTGTTTCCAATTTGGCGTCGGTAGACGAAATAATTACGATTGACATACTTGGGTAGGATTGCTACGGATGATTCCAACAACAAAAGTAGGCTTGTTATACACAATTGTGAAGATAAATCAATTTAAATTTACGACATAACAAGTTAAAGTGGGGTTGACAACCGAGAAATCGGCATATAACGGAATTTTGCGACCGGCTGACATTTTTCAAAAATGCGAGTTAAGTACCTTGTGTTATATTAAGGTATATATATAGGAATTTTTTTTTCTGAGACGTGTGCCTGTGGTTTGTATGGTCTTTCGTACCAAAATATTTGTTTTTAATACGAAAATATTTGTTTTTAATACACAAAATATCTTGAGATACAATTAAATTGAACCAAGGCTTTGTATAGTGAGGTATATATTGCTATACAAATCCTTAATAAACAAGGAACCCATGAGAAAGGGGCGGGGATAAATCAGCGGCGGGTTAAGAAAGGCGTATAGGGCGTTCATCTACCCAAAACATATGAAAAGAAAATGAAACCAAGTCAACAAATCAATTTCGTTTTTCTTTGAAAAAAATAGTAGCTTATAATAAGGACGTTCAATGCTTGGATATGTGCCATGAAACCAAGTTATCTGAAAATCATGTGAAAGTTTGAAAAATAAAGTTGTTCAGTCGTGTTCACTTTGCTTGAAATCAACCCAGTACTTATAAGATACATTTCACACAATTAAGTATGGTGTAATTGTCTACAACTAAAACAAATGATGAGGCACTAGATTGAAAGACTAAAAATCACTTTAAGTAGTCTTTAACAATCCAGTTGTTTAGACCAAAATTATCGTTACAGATCCAAATTCGTTTACTTATGGTAGCAATTAGATTCAAATATAATAAAATATTTCTCTGTACATATAATATATTTTTTACAAGTTTCAGTTTTCCAGCTCCGCAATTCTGAATCAAGCTAAAATTTACAAAAAGTTATTCCTTATTTGAATTATCAAAACTTAATTGAATTATCAAAATTGATTGTAATAGAAAATTTACGAGAAGTTTGTGCATTCGTCCTGAGAAATACATGTATACCATCTAGTTATACAATTAACCAACGATGATGATTTTAGAGAAAGCAGCACACATTACATTACATTAGCAAGAATTACTAGTAGTTGCTAACATGCCAGCTTCAGACTAACTGCTTATCTGAATACATGTATGCAGTGTATATATCACACAGCAATGTTTTGCTCTCATATGTGTAATACTTTTCCCTGCATTTTTTGTATATAGGTAAACTCCGATTTATTGGTTTCAAAACTGAAAAAAAACGTACCCAAAAAATAAAACACGGAAGTGCCTGCAATATACGATTTTATCATATATTTAGTACTGATTACAGAAATTTTGTATATCTGATAAAGGTTCTTTACTCCAGTCTGAAATCATCTACCCTGTATCGCATACCCCGTATCGCACCCCTTTTGGAACATATCGAGATTGTTTCCGGGACTCCTCAGTTGTTATACTATTGATCTATATATGCAAGTACTTATTCATTACAGCATTTCTTTCAAATAAAAGACCAAATATTATATATTTTAATTTTTGCAAGCTCTCCAATGTTACCTCATGATCATCAAGATGTGATGCCATATATCGACATTTGACGTCCAGTTGCCGTATTTCCTTACATGATACGAAATTTAACCATCAGCAAGAGGGCTTAGCAGCAATTTGTTGGCGGACGACCATGTAGTTGGAAGGGGCTGGGTGGGGTTGGGCTAGCTAGCAAATTTGATGAGGTCAATATCTTTATTTCCATATCTATTTCCAACATGAAGACGGCCTATTATTATGTTCACTCCGCCTGGGCAAGAATATATTTTCTGACCATCCCCAAAATCAGGGGTGGATCCGGGAGGGGGTCTGGGGGTTGGACCTTCCCTTTTTGACGAACAATGCATTTAAATGGGGATATATATAGTTGGAGCCCCGCTCCCCTTTTTTAAAATGGCTGGATCCGTCCCTGCAATTGACTCCAAATATGCCCCTTTTCGCCATCCGTCAGCATCAACTTTTCACACCGTAAATTAATTTATCTGTTGGGATACAGATCAGCTTTTTATAAGATACACATACAATAAAATACCATTACAATCGAGGGTGGGTCCACGACAAGAGGAGTAGGCCTATCATTATCCAAAATTGTAAAATTAGCGAGAATTTCTTTTCTTTTTTTTACTATTTAAGATTTCATGAACGAAATTATATTTTTATTAGGCGAAAAGTAAGGGGAACGTTCATGTATATCCATCAAAACAAAAACTGATAATACTTCTTTCCGGATTTTTTGTTTATTGTTGATACCATTGTAAATGATTACAAAAATGTATTTGGGCCAGAATATATATGTATTTTTTTTTGTATTGCTATGTGTTACAATTTATGACAAAAATCAGCAAAGACCCATCGAAACAACATCTGATACACAAATTTAATAATACTTTTAGATATTTGGATGATATTTTGGCTCTCAATAATGACGACTTCAGTATGTATACTAAAGAAATTTATCCTGTTGAACTTACTTTAAATAAAGCTAATACTAACAATGACCACTGCCCTTTCCTCGATCTTGATATCTATATCATTAATGGAAAGCTTAATACTAAAATATATGATAAAAGAGATGATTTTTCATTTCCTATCGTTAATTATCCATTTTTAGATGGTGACGTTCCCTTGTCACCATCTTACGGTGTTTATATATCTCAACTTGTACGATTCGCTCGTGTATGTAACAATGTTTTAGATTTTAACGAGAGAAATTTATGTATTACTGAAAAATTATTACACCAGGGTTTTCGATATCACAAACTAGTCAAAACATTTACTAAATTTTATCATCGGTATAAGGACATCATTCGTAAATATAGCTCAACATGCAGACTTCTTATACGTTCAGGTATTTCACATCCAATTTTTTATGGAAATATTCTTTATAAAGCACAAAAATGTCAGTTTTCACCTCTGAAGCTAACAAAACCTTTAAATAGACTTATTAAGAAGGGATATAGTTACGATACTGTTGTCAGGTCATTAAAGATTGCATATTTTGGCGTTTATATTGATTCACTTATAGGGTCTTTGCATCGGCACTCAACACAATTATTTAAAAACCAGTTGTTGGCATGACACGGGTTATGTTCTTCTCATATATGTTATGATGGTATGATACTAAACCCCTAACGGGGAGGATTGTGCCTGATATTCATATGATGAAGACATCATCTTTCAATCAGTTTAATTGAAGTCTGGAGCTGGCATGTCAGTTAACTGCTAGTAGTCTGTTGTTATTTATGTATTATTGTCATTTTGTTTATTTTCTTTGGTTACATCTTCTGACATCAGACTCGGACTTCTCTTGAACTGAATTTTAATGTGCTTATTGTTATGCGTTTACTTTTCTACATTGGCTAGAGGTATAGGGGGAGGGGTGAGATCTCATAAACATGTTTAACCCCGCCGCATTTTTGCGTCTGTCCCAAGTCAGGAGCCTCTAGCCTTTGTTAGTCTTGTACTATTTTTAATTTTAGTTTCTTGTGTACAATTTGGAGTTTAGTATGGCGTTCATTATCACTGAACTAGTATATATATTTGTTTAGGAGCCAGCTGAAGGACGCCTCCGGGTGCGGGAATTTCTCGCTGCATTGAAGACCTGTTGGTGACCTTCTGCTGTTGTCTGTTCTATGGTCGGGTTGTTGTCTCTTTGACACATTCCCCATTTCCATTCTCAATTTTATTTCAACAAAATGGACGCAAGGATATTTATCATGTTTATTTCTAAAATTTGTCATGCCCCTGCCTAAGACATGTAAGCATCGAATGATTGTCCGCTTACATATCATGAATCTGATTTTAATTATTAAAACATATGATAAACAGAACAATACATGACAAAATCCGTATCGCATGCTGTATCACCACTCGACCAATATCAGCCCTCGGGACCTTCGGCCCTCTGGACTAATATTGGTTTTCCATGGTGATACAGCATGCGATACGGATTTTGACATGTATTATTCTATATGTATATGCGATATGAAATGTAGTAATCTTGATGATATCGATAAATTAACCGATGAAATTAATCTGTTTTTTTTTTATTTGTACGTTCAAAATGCAACACATACATAACGAACAATATTGTTTTGTTTGATGAACTCTTCGCATGTCTTCGTTCGTGTGAAGATTTGATTATGATATTATTTTTTTTTGATATTTTAGTGCCTTTATCTTTATTGAAATGAAGGTATATATTTATTATCATTTTATCAAGAGTCACCATCAAAGTAGGAAGACCCAATAGTTTATAACTGTATTTGTTTGAGCAATTTTTATTACATAAACATAGTAACACATATGATATTTTCTGCGATTACTAAAAGGAGATGTACAGGTAGGATATGTTTTTTGCGAGACTGGTCTTTAACACAAAACAAAAACCAAAAGAAGACATTCAAAACAAATTCAACCTTCAACATTATACAAATGCCTATATAATGTCAAGCTTTAAATCTAACAAGATCAAAAGATTTAACAGAAAAACTCACGCATCTGCCATTAAAACATGATTCTCAAAATAACGAAAAACATTAACCTAAAGATGTTATATACGATTAACAACGAGGTTCTTGAATTAGGACAGGTACATAAAAAGGTGGAAGGGTTGAACTAAATTTTCAAAGTCTCAACCTATCTCATTGTGTACGCAATCAGTGAACTCTACCAATTGTGTCACTTTGAATTGTTCACCCAATTGATCATGTTGATTTAAATAAAAGTTGTTTATAGTTTCGTTACATTGATTCAATTATATTGAATTGAATAAATGTATACAAATGATAGATTTAGCATTGTATGTCAGTACCTGCTAGTAGTCCTTTGTTAATTTACGTATCATTGTCATTTGTTTAGTTTCTTTTTTCGCCTATTCTGACATTTTTTTTTTATCAACCGAGGTAAATTAAATTAGTTTCATTTTCAGTGGGAATTCCCATTTGAATAAAGGGAAACTATCTAAATATTTCAAAAGTGATTCGACTGAATCAGCGCTAAAATTTAAATTGCATTAGTGTTGATGTTGATAAAAAGATATTTTTAGACCCTGTAGCTAACCAATATGTTTGTACCATAGTAGATGGGTCGTTACAAATGTGTTGTGATTAATGTAGTTATGCATGCTTGACGAACAATGAGGTTCTTGACTTTGGACAGGTACATTAAAAGGTGGCCGGGTTTAACTAAATTGATTAAGTTACAACCCTTATCCGTTTATGCACAAGAAGTGAACTCAACCAATTATGTCTCTTTGAAATATTCACCCAATTGAATCAATGTAACGGAACTATAAACAACTTATTTTTTTACAAATGAGAGATTTAGCAATCATAAAACCAGGTTTAAACCACCATTTTCTTAAAAATGTCTGTAAGAAATCACAAATTTATTTTTTGTTTTGCATTTCTTCTGTAATTTTTTTAAGCAACTTCATAAACAATAAATAAAGTAAAAATCTTGTGCAAAATCATGAACAAACAATACATAATTCCAATGCAGAAAAACACAGTTACTAAAATTTTCTAAGATCTGAGACTCCAGAAACATTTCGCTAGTAAGATCCGACACAGGCATATCGAATCAAGCAACTACTAGATTCCCTAAGGAACATTCAGATATTTTCTTAAATGTTGGTCTTATTATAAAGTCCCAAATTACTAACTCACAATTTCGATCTTTCATGAACTGATATAGAATGCGTTACCGAAATATGTTAACCCATGCGCTATAGGGCTCTTCTCTTGCTCTGTGTGCAAGTTTGAAAAATTACTTACAACTAGCACATTTAGCATATCAATATATTTTTCTACATTTTTTTATTCGTCATATTTAAACTTATACGCTAATCAACAGTGTTCCTAAACCAATGTTCATTGAGTTTTATAAATATTGATAGATTTATAAAGGTCTTTTAAGACTGACAGTTTTTTTGTTTCATTGTTGATAGATATACCGGTCGGTTCATTGATGCCATTGTCTGCTGTCAAGACAATGCCATGTTTCTGTCCATCATTAGATATTCTATGTATGTTGTTTGATAACAATCCTGCTACATACACATCCCCACGGTCATCCACAGCAACACCAGCAGTACTTTTCAGGTCAGGACTGTTGTATATTTCACGTTCTTTTCCGTCAAATGTAACAGCGTATACTTTATTTCTATTTTTGTTATCAGTACAATATACATCACCATCTTGATTGGAACAGATTTCACTAGGATCGAATGTTGTTTGTATTACTTTAAGAACGTTACCGTCAACATCCACAATGGTGAGAGTGTCAGGTTTATTTTTGACCCAGATCTTATCCTTTACACTGGTGATTCCTCCACAGAATCCTTCAACCTTAATTCTCCTACCAAGCTTTAATGATGTCAGGTCGATGATCTGGATACCAGCATCACCAACAGATACTACAGCATGGTTTTTGTCATATAAGCTTATATTAAGTGGTTTATAATCCAAATCAATCACGTTGGAGTTCGATCCATCAAGCGCGCAAACAAAAAGTTGTTTCTTCATGATGTGACCGAGGAGTAACCTTTCACCAGAAATAAAGCAACCTCTATAGATACTGACTCCATTACCTAATTTCGTGGTCCTGAATGAATGTGCTAGTGATAACTTTCTTTCGTCCCTAACGAGAAATTGACCTTGTTGATCGATAGCTAGTACAGGCATTTGAACTTGAACATTTTCTACCGTTATTGTACCTAAGTCATGGACTAGTTTCTCAATGTTTGGCGCAGATTCTGACGGATAGTATTTAAGTATCGGAACAGTAGCTGTTTGGATTTCTCTGATTTCCAATTCTTTAAGGCAAGTTTTTGCATCTAGAAATGTCATCACCTGAAAAAAATGAATTTCTGATGTGTGTTGCTTCAGTGATTTTAGATCACTTTTCCATGTAGACAGGGCGTCTGAGCTGGATTGGATGCTTTTTTTTGTTTTGGGACACCACCGCAGAACAGGTTTTATACTTAGAATCAATGTCATTATTTATCTCTGCTTCTAATCTATCTAAATGAGCAATAATGTTATGCTTGATTTCCGAAACCATTTTCTTGATTTTGTTTCGATTTGTTTCTAAATCTACAAGTGTTGTCTCCCTTTGACTCCGTACGTTCTCTGTAACTTGACATAGGTTGGAAATCCTCCTCTCTAGATCAGAAATAGCGGCGCCATCTTTCACGCCTTTAGCAGCTTTTTCAATTGAAATGATAGACTTGCAATTCTGATGTGATACCGGAACACATGAATCGCAGATTAGCTTGTCATGTTGACAGCAGTACAGTACAATATTTTGATCTGGATGATTGTCACAGTTCTTGGACAATTTAAGAAGTGAAGAATTAAGTTGTTGCATCTCTTGCATTGGTACTACCTTGTGAGGCGGAGACATCCTTGTGTGAACTCTGGAACACGCCTTACATACATATTCAATGCAATCACTGCACCATGATACGGCTTTTATGTCTTCGTCACCACGCTGACATCCAGCACAGAATTTACTGTCTGCCATTCTGTAATAGAGATACATAGCGTATGCCTTATTTCATCAAATGGCATATTTTCCTAAGAAATTATATCAAAACATTTTCATTCTTTTAAAGCAATTGCGTTCACTCTGTACTGTCTCAACTCCTTATCCGACAATGACTGAAAAGCCCCAGAAAAAACAGAAATGTAATCTAAAAGTTTTGTCTTCAAAAAAAAAAGTGCATTGATAACTATGTCAAAACTAAATGTAACAAGAGAGTATCAAAGTCTTAACCATTACTTACGACAGATAATAGTATGTCTGATAACTAAACATATTTCACAAGATAAAGAAATTTAAAAAAAAGATACAGGAAAAATACATCTTAGGGGAAAATAAAACATCCTATATAACAGTCGGAATAAAAAAATGAATAAGAATGTATTTAAAACTTTTGGAAAATAGAAATGAGAACGATAAAGTACAAAAAAGTGCAAACTACTGTCATTTTAATATCGTTAGAAAACATCAAATAGTGAAAATAATTAACGTGGATATGAATAAAAAAAAGAAGGGGGTTCCATGCATCAAGCGCCTTTGGTCCATAGAAATATCAAGAAAATTATTAAAAACATCGATTCGTATTTATCCGATATTAACACTGGCACGTTTGAAGTTAAGTAAATAAACAAATTCAAAGGGAAAATTGGTATATGAACACAGCTTTAGTGTTAGCGTGTTCATTATTTTTCTTCATTTCTTATCATCATAATGCAGCAACGAATAACGTCTTTCTTGAAAATGTCCGTATACTACAAGTATCTTGATTAAATATAAAAACACCTCAACATGCCTGAGAATGTAATTTTCAAATAATCATAACACATATTATACTTTAACGGATTCTATTTTTGAAATTGTGATTTGTAATTATTTTAAATAATCTTGGTTACCGACGTAAACAAACACTTTGTATTGTCATCCTTGTCATTAGAAGTTTTACTTTTCTATTTTGAATATGATTTTTAGAATTAACTTACCTATCCAGTTTGTTTTAAAACAAAGCTGTGTCTTTTGTTTGTTATGAACCTAGACACATTAAAATTACTTCCGTTTTTAGTGGGAATTCTCATTTGATTAAAGGAAAACTGCCTAAATGTTCCAAAGGTGATTTGACTGAATCGGCACTAAAATTTAAATCACATTTATCGTGTTTATGTTGATAAATAAAGAAATTAAAGATATTTTTAGACCCTGTAGGTAACCAAATTGTAGATCAAGTAGGTGGGTAACTACACATGTATTGTCGCTTATATAGTTATGTTTGCTTTTCCGGTGACACAACATATCTTGTGATACAATTGAAGTGACCCAAGGCTTTGTATAATGATGTACATATTACTATACAAATCCTTAATACACAAGGATCCCACGGACAAGGCGTGTTCAGAGCGGCGTTGAGGGCGTACAATGCACATCTACCCAAAACATGTGAAAAGAAAAGAGAACTAAGTAAATAACAAATCAATCTACGTTTATCTTCGAATCCATGAGTAGTTTATTAAAAGGACATTAAATTCCTGGATTACTGTGCATGTTCCTCTGTGCCAGGGAACCAAGTTTTATCTGATATAATGTAAAGGTCCGAACAATAAATTCGTTCAGTCTTGTTCACTTCGCTTGAAATCAATCCAGTATTTATAAGATGCTTTTCAGGCAATTAAGAATAATGTTGTTGTCTACAACTAAAAACAGTGTGATACTAAAAAAATTTATGGGCATAGACTGAACAGATCTTAATTGACAGCAATCAGATGGTCTGAACAGTACTGAATTTACCAATAGATTGAAAGAGTAGAACATACTTAAGTAGTCTTTTAAAATCTAGTTGTGCACACAAAAATTATCGTTTTAGATCCCAATTCGTTTACTTATGTAAGCAGTTGGATTCGAATATAAATAAATATTTCTCTGTACATATAACATATATAATACATTTTACAAATTTCGGTTTTCCTGCTCCGCAGTACTAAATCATGTTAAACATTACAAAACGTAATTCCCTAATTGAATTATCAAAATTGATTGGAATAGAAAATTTACGAGATTCTGATGCATCCGTCATGAGAAATATACCATATGGTCAAACAAATTACCAACGATGATCATTTTAGAGAAAGCGGCACACATATCATTACATTAACAAAGAACTACTAACAGTTACTGACATGCCAGCTCAAGACTAAAAGAGGGGCGAAAGATACCAGAGGGACAGTCAACTCATAGATCGAAAATAAACTGACAACGCCATGGCTAATAAAGAAAAAGACAAACAAACAAATAATAGTACAAGAGACACAACATTGAAAACTAAAGACTAAGCAACACGAACCACACCAAAAACCGGGGGTGATCTCAGGTGCTCCGGAAGGGTACGCAGATCCTGCTGCACATTTGGCACCCGTCGTGTTAATAATGTTATTACAAACCCGGTAAATTCGGTAGTTCACATTCGTGAAAATGAAAGAGGATTGCAGTAGCGACAGAAAGAACATATCCAATATCATCTGTGAAACGGTTATTCGATAACGGTCAACCATGGCCAACTCGTGATGGCGTCCGTAAAATTTACGAAGGGATGATTTCAACTTCACCATTTAGAGCTGTTTTTTTTTTTTAATTCCTTGTGAGCAGCAGCCCTCTATCAAGGAAATCATGATATTTAATACAAACCCGGGAATATCGGATCCTTCGGGAGATATGTACTTCGTATGCAGGCGCTGCTGGAATTTTGCTACATAGAAATGGAAAGTGCACAAATGGGGCAGCTGAAATCATCTCTAACTGCTTATCTAAATACATGAATACAGTGTATACATCACATGGCAATGTTTTGCTCTCATATGTGTAATACTTTTCCCTGCATTTTGTGTATCATGGTAAACTCCGATTTGTTGGTTTCAAAACTAAAAAAAACATACCCAACATAAAAACAAAAGCACGGAAGTGCCTGCAATATATTGTATATGCGATATGCTATGTAGTAATCTTAATGATATCGATGAATTAACAGATCGCATTAATCTGGGTTTTTTTTAATTATATTTACGTTCAAATAGATATAAGAAGATGTAGTATGAGTGCTAGCGAGACAACTCTCCATCCAAGTCACAATTTATAAAAGTAAACCATTATAGGTCAAAGTACGGTATTCAACACGGAGCCTTGGCTTACACCGAAGAGCAAGCTATATGGGGCCCCAAAAATTACTAGTGTAAAACTGTTTAAACGTCTTAATGCAAAATATACATAACGAAAAATATATTTTTGTTTGATAAACTATTCGTTCATGTCTTAATTTTTTTAGTATTTTAATTCCTTTATCTCGTTTGAAATGAAGTTATAGTTTTATAATCATTTTATCAAGAGTGACCATCATAGTAGGACGACCTAATAGTCTATTACTGCATATGTTTGAGCAATATTTATGACATAAACAAAGTAACACATATGATACTTGCTGCGATTACTAAAAGGAGACGTACTTGCAGGGTATTTGTTCACGAGATGGTCCATTAACACACAAAACGAAAAAAAACAAACAAACTACCCAAAAAACATAAACAAAAGGGGACATTAAGAAGGGGCGTAAGTCAACCTTCAACATTATGCAAATGCCTTTACAATACCAAGCTTTAAATATAACAGGATCAAACGATTAAATACAAATAATCACACATCTGTCGTTAAAACATTATTCTCAAAATAACTAAAAACATTAAGATGATATATGACTTACAGCGAGGTTCTTGACTTAGGACAGGTACATAAAAAGGTGGTCGGTTGAACTAAATTGTTAAAGTTTCAAATCTTCTCATTGTGTTCGCAATAATAATTCTCTACCAATTGTGTCTCTTTGAATTGTTCACCCAATTGATTCAAATAAAAGCTGTTTCAAGTTCCGTTAAATTGATTTAATTATATTGAATTAAATCAATGTAACGGAACTTGAAACAAGTTGTATACAAATGGTTGATTTAGCATTGTATTTCAGTACCTGCTAGTAGTCCTTTGTTAATTTACGTAGCATTGTCATTTGTTTAGTTTCTTTTGTTACCTATTCTGACATCGGACTTTTTTTAAAATATTTTTAACAGTGCGTATTGATGTGTGTTTATTTTTTCATTAGAAGAGGTATAGGGGGAGGGTGGAAATCTAAAAAAAAAAAACATGTTAAACACCGCTGCATTTTTGCGCCTGTTCCAAGTCAGGAGCCTCATGCCTTTATTAGTCTTTTTAGATTTTTTAATATTAGTTTCTTTTATATATTTCGGAGTTTAGTATGACGTCCATTTTTACTGAACTAGTACACATTTTTGTTTCCCTGTACCCATTGTAGGAAAACACTGTTGCTAAAATGTTCTAAGATCTAAGATTCCGGTCGCTAGTAAGTTGAGACACAGGCATCGAATCAAGCAAACGATTCGTGATGGTGACGATGTGGTGTCGATTTTAATCGATCTTCCTTATAACACTTTTGAAGTATTTTTTTATGTTAGGAATATACTTCCGATAATAAAGTAACAATGTCTGACCAATTAATATACATGTTATAGGGTTAATACCACCAACGTTTACCCTATGTTCAAACCGCAGTTTGAAATAATTAAAATATATTTTTCTTAAAAGTCAGCATTTTATCCCTATTTCTAACAACTGGTGCCATTTTACAGGTAAATCAATTCTCGGGATATCATTTTTAAACTAGATTCATAAGGAAACATTCAGGTATTTTTTTCTATAACTGACTCACAATGTTGATCTTTCATGAACTGTAATAGAACTTGTGACCAAAATATGCATACCCATCCGCTTTAGTGCCCTTCTCTTGCTCAGTGCAAGTTTGAACCATTACTTAATATAGTACATTAAGCCTACCATTTTATTTTTCTAGATTTTGCAATTCGTTATATTTCAGTAAAAAGGTCTCATATTCATTAGAATTCAGATTTAAAATAGATACTTTCATAAAAATATTATTAGATTATTTTCAGAAATGTTCAACTTAAAAGTATGAAGCGACATCTGAAAATGTTTCAAGCAATATTTGATAACCCGGTTATATATATATATCAATTTTTCATTAAAATGTGAAGTGTTCCTAAGTCAGTGTTCATTGGGTTTTATAAATTTTGATAGATTTATAATCGTCGTTTACGACTAACAGTTCTTTTGTTTCATTATTGTAAGATAAAGCACTCGGCTGATAGAAGCCGTCGTCTGCTATCAAGACAATGTCATGTTTCTGTCCAGCATTTGATATTCTATGTATGTTGTTAGATCTATATCCTGCTACGTACACATCACCACGGTCATCTACAGTTACACCAGTAGCATGTTTAAGGTCAGGACTGTTGAATATCTCACGTTCTTTTCCGCTCACTGTAACAAAATATACTTTATTACTATCTAAGTCAGTACAATACACATCTCCGTCTTGATTGGCACAGATATCCTTAGGATCAAATGTTGTTTTAATTACTTTTAGAACTTTTCCATTGATATCTATAATTGTGAGAATGTAAGATTTATTTTTTACCCAGATCTTATCCTTAACACTTGTGATTCCAAAACATATTTCATCAACTTGAATTATCCTTCCAGGCGTCAATGCTGTCAGGTCGATGATTTAGATACCTTCACCACCAACAGATACTATAGCATGGGTTTTGTCATATAAGCTTATCTTTAACGGTGAATAATCCAAGTCAATCACGTTGGAGTTCGATCCATCAAGTGTACAAACAGAAAGTTTTGTGTCCATGCTGTGACAGAGGAGTAACCTATCATCAGATATAAAGCAACCTCTATAGATACTTACTCCAGTACCTAATTTCGTGGTCTGGAATGAATATGCTTGTGATAACTTCTATATTGACCTTGTTGATCGATATCTAGTACAGGCATTGGTACTTGAACATTTTCTACCGTTATTTTACCTAAGTCTGGGACTAGTTTCTTAATGTTCGACTCAAATTCTGACGGATGATATTTTAGTATCGGAACAGTAGCTGTTTGGATTTCTCTGATTTCCAATTCTTTCTTGTAAGTTTTTGCATCTACAAATTTTACCACCTGGAATAAACGGATTTCTGATGTGTGTTGCTTCAGTGATTTTAGATCACTTTTCCATGTAGACAGCGAGTCAAAGCTGGATTGGATGCTGTTACTGTTTCGGAACAACATCTCAGTACATGTTTTATACTTAGAATCCATGTCCTTATGAATATCTGCTTCTAACCTATTTAAATGAGCAATAATGTTATGCTTGATTTACGAAACCCTTTTCTTGATTTTGTTTCGATTTTTTTTCTAAATCTACAAGTGTTGTCCCCCCTTCACTCAGTATGTTCTCTGTAACTTGACATAGGTTGATAATCCTTCTCTCTAGATCAGAAATAGCGGTGCCATCTTTCACGCCTCTTGCGGTTTTTTCAATTGAAATGATAGACTTGCAATTCTTGTGTGATACCGGAACACATGAATCGCAGATTACTTTGTGATGTTGACAGCAGTACAGTACTATCTTGTGATCTGGATGATTCTTGCAGTTCTTGGACAATTTGAGAAGTGAAGAACTGAGTTGTGAGGTGGGGACATCCTTTCGTGAACTCTGGAACACGTCTTACATACAAGCTCAATGCAGTCACTGCACCAAGATACAACTGATATGTATTCATCACCGCGCTGACAACCAGCACATAATATCGGGATACTCAAAAATACAGGCTTTCTCGGACTGAAAACAACTTCGAATTTATATCAGTCCTCACAAACCTGTGAATGACTTGAAAGTTGTGCAAATGCAAGAAAATCTATAATAATATAAAACTTGAAGTTTCAGCATCTAATCCGTAATTTTCTTTTTCAATCTATATAGTATGAGATTTTATAAGTTAATACACTTTTACAAAGATTCATTGCAGGTAATAGGTTCATAATTTTGTACGCCAGTGCGCATTTCATATGCAGAAGACTAATCACTGGTGCTCGACCAAAAATTGTTTTACGAGGATTGAGTTCTCTTCCTTAGATTGCAGTTCCTTACCATAAATGAATCACTCAGAATAAGCACGACCCGAATGTTACCTTTTGTGTCTCTTGGCTACTTGTTTCATGTAAAACTATTTTATTCATCTTTCATAAGTCAACAGCCTGTAATTCAGTAGTTGTCGTTGATATTTGTCTTTCATATTTGTTTTTCCGTATTTTTCTGCTATACTTTAGGTCATTAGTTTTATAGTTTAAATTGTTACACTTTTCATGTCGGGCAATTTATGACTGAGATTACAGTATTCTTTTTTTCTCATTGGTCAATGACATTCGGTGACCAACATATTATATTACATCTCACGAAATTCAAAATTTAGTGACTATGTTGATTGCATATATCCCATCGAACTTTAGAAAAAGGGTACAACAGATACAGTTAAGTCTGCCTTATAACATGACTTGATAAATCGACAATGAGGGTCAGTAAAAAAAATTACCACGAAAGAGATAATTGCAGCTTCCCAGTTGTGTATTTTCCATTTCGATGTGGCAATATTCCTGCAGCACCTAAATACGAGGTATTTATATCATGTTTATCTCGAGTTGATATTCCAGGACTTGTATTTCCTATCATGATTTCCTGGAAAGGGGGTTGCTGCTCTCAACGAAGCTATTGAACCAAGAGATTCAAGAGGTGAAGTGGAATGCAGCCCTTCGTAAATTCTTCCCCGAATGCGACTTACCGAATTTTACTTATTACCTTGACTTATTATCAGGTTTGTATTAACACGAGCAACACGACGTGTGCCACATATGTGGAGGGGGATCTGCTTACCCTTCCGGAGTTTAGTCTTTGGTTTTGTACGTTGTGTTTTGTGTACAAGTGTTTGTATGTTTGTCTTTTTCTTTTTTAGTCATAACGTTACAATTACAGACTCCAAAAACTGGTTCTAGCTCATTAAAGAAGCGAATAGTAACGATAGATGATACATACACATACAAAAATCATCCTAGTTCACAACAGAAGCGTATGATAAAGACAGTAATAACAGACAACAACAACTCGTGCTAGCTCACAACGTGCACAGTAGCAAACGATAAAGACCGAAATAGTAGACACCAAAAAAAAAAAAATCTAGTTATATCAAACCAAAGTAACACATTGTAACTAGAGAATATAAAGACAACAGAAATTATTCTATATCATCCGAAATACACGTATGATTATTAGAGCAATAGCAGCACATAAACTCGTTCTATCTTCTTATAGAAACGGATGCCGAAAAGATAAATAGCGGAACATGAATTCGTGCAATCTCCTTATAGAAACGGATGCCGAAAAGGTGATAACGGAACATAAACTCGCTCTAAAGCACCAGCCAACGAGTAATAACAGACAACAGAAAATCTGTTAATATTACCATAGATAACAATGGTAAAAATTGAACGACAGCACGAAACAGAAACATTTCACTTGACCATAGATGAATGATCCGTAGGGCAATAACGACACAGAACATTGTTCTTTCTCACTACAAAAAGGGATGATAAGAGTCAATACATGTATATACTATTCATGTAAACACCTTGATCTTTTGAATATTAAAATTATTCTTAATTATTGAAAATTTTACACAGTAGTAAAATTTAAACATACTGTATTTATCGGTTCTAACATTGTGTGTTTCATGTTGACGTATGGTATAACTCCATGCAGTTCCTCGTTTTAATGAAACCAAACGGAAAAAATAATAGACACAGAGCAATAAAACGACATATTGTTAATGATATGAACCAAGCTTTCATTTATGCTAAGTATTCACACTGGCCACTGCGCTATCAAGTTTTCATAAGATCATCTTTTAAA